CCCCTATCCTAGAGGAGAATCGGTGATTGCGATTTTGAAAAGTGAATCACCCCTATTATGTCATAAATCGTGATTCGGATCGGTGATTTTGAATCGTGAATCGTCCCAATCCTAGAGAAGAATCAGCGATTTTGAACCGGCGATTTTGAACAGTGAATCGCCCCTATTACTTCATAAATCGCGATTCCAGCCGCTTAGTGACATCGCCCGATCATAGAGGAGAGCCGCTGATTTTGAACCGGCGATTCCAGCCGCTTAGTGACATCGCTCGATCCTAGAGGAGAATCGGCGATTTTGAACAGGCGATTTTGAATAGTGAATCGCCCCTATTATGTCATAAATTACGATTCCAGCCTCTTAGTGACATCGCCTTATCCTAGAGGAGAATCGACAATTTTGAACCGTGAATCATCGCCCGATCGCAGAGGAGAATCGGCAATTTTGAACCGTGAATCGCCCAAAATCGCCCCTATTACGATTTTGAACAGTGACTCGCCCCTATTACGTCATAAATCGTGATTCCACCTACTTAGTGACATCGCCTGATCCTAGAGGAGAATCGACGATTTTGAACCGTGAATCGTATCGCTCGATCCAAGAGGAGAATCGGCGATTTGAACCGTGAGTCGCCCATAATCGTCCCTATTACGATTTTGAACAGCGAATCGCCCCTATTATGTCATAAATCGCGATTTCAGCCTCTTAGTGACATCGCCCGATCTTAGAGGAGAATCGGCAATTTTGAATCATGAATCGCCCCCTATTACGTCATAAATCGCGATTCCAGCCGCTTCGTGACATCACTCGATCCTACCCGATCCTAGAGGAGAATCGGTGATTCCAGCCGCTCGCCCCTATTACGTCATAAATTGTAGATTCCAATAGCTTAGTAGAATCGGCGATTCCAGCCGCTTGCCCCTATTACTTCATAAAATGTCATAAATCGTGGATTTCAGCCGCTTAGTGACGTAGAATCGGCGATTCCAGCCGCTTACCCCTATTACGTCATAAATCGCGGATTCCAGCTGCTTAGTGATATCGCCCGCTCCTTGAGGAGAATCGCCAAGACCCTAGAGGAGAATCGCCGATTCCAACTGCTCACCCCTATTACATCTTAAAACGTCATAAATCGCTACCCGATCCTAAAGGAGAATCGGGGATTCCAGCCGCTCGTCCCTATCATAAATCGCTACCCGATCTTAGAGGATAATCGACGATTCCAGCCACTTGTCCCTATTACGTCATAGTCCCTATTACATCATAAAACGTCATAAATCGCTACCCGATCCTAGAGGAGAATCGGCTAAGCCACTCATCCCTAGTACGTCATAAAACGTCATAAATGGCTACCCGATCCTAGAGGAGAATCGGTGATTCTAGCCGCTCGCTAGCCCCTATTATGGCTCGCTCGCCCCTATTATGTTGTAATAGAGGAGAATCGACGATTCCAGCCGCTCGCTTGCCCCTATGAGGAGAATCGGCTATTCCAGTCGCTCGCTCGCCCCTATTACGGCTCGCTGGCCCTTATTACGTTGAAATAGAGGAGAATTGACAATTCCAGCCGCTCGCTCGTCTCTATTACAACGTAATAGGGGAGAATCGACGATAATAGGGGAGAATCGGTGATAATAGGGGAGAATCAGCAATTCCAGCCGCTCGCTCGATCCTAGAGGAGAATCAGCGATTTCACCGATCCTAAAGGAGAATCGGCAATATTACATTATAATATAGGAGAATTGACGATTCCAGCCGCTCGCTCGATCTTAGAGGAGATCCTAGAGGAGAATCGGCGATTTCAATGAATCGAACATAATCGGCGATTCCAGCTGCTCGCTCGATCCTAGAGGAGAATCGGCGATTTCAGTGAATCAAGCAGAATCGTCAATTTCAGTGAATCGAGCAGAATCGACGATTTCAGTGAATCGAGCGATTTCACCGATATCCTAAAGGAGAATCGTCGATTCATCCTAAAAGGGAATCGGCGATATTACGTTGTAATAGAGGATCGGCGATTTTAGTGAATCGGCGAGTGAATCACCCCGATCTAGAGGAGAATCAGCGATTTCACCGATCCAAGAGGAGAATCGGCGATTTCACCGATCCTAAAGGAGAATCGGCGATTTCAGTGAATCGACACGATATTACGTTGTAAGAGGATCGGCAATTTCAGTGAATCGACACAATATTACGCTGTAATAGAGGATCGACGATTTCAGTGAATCGACGAGTGAATCACCTCGATCTAGAGGAGAATCAGTGATCGACGAGTGAATCACCCCAATCTAGAGGAGAATCAGCGATTTCACGGATCCTAGAGGAGAATCGGCGATTTCACCGATCCTAGAGGAGAATCCACGATTTTAGCGAATCGACGAGTGAATCACCCCGATCTAGCGATTTCACCGATCCTAGAGGAGAATCGGCGATTTCAATGAATCGATCGACGAGTGAATCACCCTAATCCTAGAGGAGAATCGAATCGGCGATTTCAGCGAATCGCCTCTATTACGTCCGATCCGAAAGGAGAATCGAATCGATCGACGAGTGAATCACCCCGATCCTAGAGGAGAATCGAATCAACGATTTCAGTGAATCGCCTCTATTATGTCCGATCCTAGAGGAGAATTGAATCAACGATTTTAGTGAATCGCCTCTATTACGTCATAAATCTCTTAGACGAGAATCGGTGATTTCAATGAATCGCCTCTATTATATCATAAATCGCCATTCCAGCTGTCGGTGATTTCAATGAATGGCCTCTATTACGTCATAAATCGCCATTCCAGCCGCTTAGTGACGTCACAGGGGGCGAGTCCTTACCTGAGGACATTTTGGTAATTTTTTTCAAAATATCACTTTAGGTTACCCTTTCTCTCCATCGCACTGGCAATGAGGCTTTTGTAAAGGTATTTATATCTTATAGACTTTCTCCAATTCTTCTATGTGGGACTTGCGTTAAGCGATATTATATTGAAAATTCATACAATATAAGTAAATATTGTATAAAGCTCTCCAGCAGTGTGTGAAGGGTTGCTGTGGTTAGCAGCAAAGGTTTTATGGGTAACTTCCCAAGTTTGAATCCTAGTTGGAACGCCATTGTGTAAAATTCACTTTTTGTCTTCATAAAAAAAATTTTAAAAAAATAATATCTAAATTTTTTTTAAAAAATAATATCATAAAAAAAAGAAGAAGATAGGTTTTTACTTTTGTCTTAAAAAAAAACTAAAATTTGTCTTCATAAGAAAAAAATAATATAGGTTTTTACTTTTGTCTTAAAAAAAAAACTAAAATGAAGAAAATAATGTAATAAAATCAATAAAAGAAAAAAAAAGTAAGACAACAAGTAAAAAGAAAAAAGTAATATAACATCTTATTTTTTCTCTTGTCCCAAAAAAACAAAAAGTAATACAACAACTATCATATTTTTTCGTACAAAAAAAATACAACAAGTATTTCTTGTCAAAAAAATAAAAGATATTTCTTAATACAATAAATATTTTTTAATACAAACTAGGAATAACTGATCTAATTATAATTTTTTTTTTATAATATGGTAAGCTTTAATATAAATTAGGAATATTAATTTTAAGATATGATTCATATACATTTGAAATAATTATCTGTCTCTAACAATCTCTTTCATTAAATTTATTCTAGATTTCTAAATAATTATATTTTTTAAAATTTGAAGTGTTATTTCGAAAATTGATGCGCATTCGAATAATTTATATATTAATAATCAAATATTTTATTTATTTATTTGTATTATAAATCTTGTAATGTATTATTTTTCTTACAGTTGTCAATAATACATTTTAAATTAAATAATAATATAAAATATTTT